ATACTCCTGCCTCAGCCTCCCAAGTGCTGGGATTACAGGCATGTGCCACTACACCTGGCCCCATGATTCATTTTATCAACTGCAGGTTAGCTGCAGTGCCTTGTGTCAAGTAGAACAGGATCAGAGGTGCAGAAAATTCCAAATAATGCTTAAACAAGGTGGAAATTTGTTTCTCCTTCCTGCAAATGAAGCCAGGTTGACACTCAGGACAACCAGAGTACCCCCTGATGTCACCCTCTTCCTTTAGCATGGTGGCACCTTCTGGCCCAGACACACACACATTGCAACCATGGTTTCAGGACAGAATGTGGTTTGGAGGAGTAGTCTCTGTGGAAGGACTGTCCTTGAAAATTTCCCTTGCTTATATGCTGTTGGCCACAGAAATCCAAAGGCCATTCTTAGCTATGTAGGTGAAGGAGTGTCTTGTAAGGTGGACTGTGTTCGTGCTCAACTTGGGAGCCTGTAATTAAGGAAGCTGAAAAGGATACTAGGGGACAAGCACAAGACTATGCTAGTCCTCTAACCACACACTCAGCACCTCATACCCATCCCTTTTACATTCTATTATACTTTGAAGAATCCTTCTATCTACTTATCTACTTATTTGAAGACTCCCTATTTGGCAGTACTAGAGATGGAACCCCAGGCCTCACACATGCTGGATAAGCATTCTACCACTGAGCTACATCCCCAGCCCTTTTTGTTAGGACAGGGTCTTGCTAAGTTGTCCAGGCCTGCTTCCAATTTGTGATGTTCCTGCCTCAAGCCTCCTGAGTAGCTGGTACAACCTCCTTTTTTGTTGTTGGAGATAGGGTATTGCTGTTACCTCAGCTTCAGAGTACTGGGACTACAGAATTATATCACTAGCTCTTTCCTTCATACTTTTATTTTTATCTTTTTGAGACAAGGTTTTGTTATGTAGCCCAGGCTGGCCTCAAATTCATGGTGATCCTCCTGCCTCAGCCTCCCAAGTACAGGGATTACAGGCTTTTGCCACCACACCCAGCTTATTTTGTTTTTTTGAGACAAAAGTCTCACTTTGCAGTTCAAACTGTCCTTGATCTCAAAAAATGTAGCCCAGGCTGGCCTCAAATTTGCAGTAATCCTTCTGCCTCAGGCTCCTGAGTGCTGCAATTATAGGTGTGTGCCACCATGCTTGGTTCTTTCCTTACTTTTTAAAAAATGTAGGGCCAAGCGTCGTGGCACATGCCTGTAATCCCAGCACTTGGGAGGCTGAGGCAGAAAGCTTGCTCTGAGTTCAAGGCCAGCCTGAACTGCACAGTGATACCCTACCCCAAAAAGGAAAAAAAATAAAAAATTTACTGAGCAAGTGACATTAGGGAAAGTCAGGACACAAATCCCACTTACCCCCACAAAAGCAGCTCTTTTCATCAGTCCCTCTCAACACTTGTGTTCAGTTTTGCCATGTTCAGAACATAAGTTTTTAGTTTTCTTCTCACTTGCCTGTCCCACAGTTCAATGTTATTTTCATTTGAGTTTTAAGTGATGCCAAAGTGCAGTTAAAAAGAGCTGAGATAAAAAATGGCAGGAGAGGGTTGTGGACTCAGTGTCAACTAACAAAGACACATGTGGCCCGTGGACAAGACTCTGGCTGGAGTTGGCAGGGGAAAGCCTATAATTCCACCTGGGAGGTACTGCTGGGGCACTGAGAGGTAGTGAAGAGCAGAGCTAAAGACAGACAAGTCAATGACAGACAAGTCAGTGAGATCCCCTAATTTCCCCTACACCAGACATGAGACACAGCTTCCCACCTAATGGGAATCCACAGTGTTTTTTGAAGACCCCAGAAACTTCAGGACCTAGAACTTACTGCTTGATCACACACTGTGGAACTGAGTCAACAAGCCCCCTCACCCAGGTCAAGGAGCGCTTCCCTTGGGAAGACAGCCCTGCCACAGAGGCAGTGGAGTCAGAGAAGGTGGGATGAAGGGCTCCCAGACCACATGCTACTGCAGAATGCTGCCTGAGGGAAGTGTGGCCCTGAGCTGATCCTGATGGATCCTTTGGATTCTCAAGGCAGGCAGTCATTTTGTTATTGGGGATTGAACCAAGGGCCTCACACATGATAAGGGCTCTACTGCTGAGCTAACCCCTAGAACTCTTACTTTTTTAAAATTCTGAGACATGGCCTTGCTAAATTGCCCAGATTGGCCTTCAATTTGTGGTCTTCCTGCCTCATTCTCCTGAGTAGCTGGGATTACAGGTGTGTACCACCACGACTAATTTATCTCCCTTTCTAATACGAAGACCTATACCTGGCTGTGTCTGGCCAAGGAACCTTTGCCTTCCACTGATGTCTCAACAGCCTTGGTGCTAAGGTCCCAGACATGGTCTAATGTTAACCAGCGGCACACTAAGCTTTTTCTTTTCTTCTAAGATGAATATCATAGTTCCTTTTTTAGTCTAGGTACAATAACCAGCTTGTAAAAAAAATAAGAAAAAAACCAAAACCCCAGATTGTTAGGTGAGTGTGGTGGTGCACTCCTATAATCCCAGCACTCAGGAGCCTGAGGCAGGAGGACTGCCACAAGGCTGAGGCCAGCCTAGGCTATGAGTTGGTTTTTTTCCGGTACTGGGAACCAAACTTACGACCTTGCGCTTGCCAGGCAGGCGCTGTGCCGCTGAGTTAAATCCCCAGCCCCAAGAGAACAGACAGTTTTATTTTTTTGTTTTGTTTTTTTTCCGGTACCGGGAATCTAACTCATGACCTTGTGCTTGCGAGGCAGGTGCTGTGCCACTGAGCTAAGTCCCCAGCCCCAGCCTAGGCTATATAATGAGTGCATGATCAGCCTGAACTACACAGTGAGACCCTGTCTCAAAAAGACAAAAAAGGGGTCAGGAATATAGCTCAGTGGCACAAGCACCTGCCTGGCAAGCACAAGGTCCTGAGTTTGATTCCTGGTACACATCCCCCACCAAAAAACATTTTATGGCTGGGCGTAGTGGTACACGCCTGTAATCTCAGCACTTGGGAAGCTGAGACAGGCAGATCGTTGCAAATTCGAGACCAGCCCATGCTAAAAGTGAGCTCAAGGCCAGCCTGAACTGCATATCAAGACCCTGTCTCAAAAAGACAAAAAAAAAACCAAACCCTCAAAACCCAAAAAACCACTCTTTTCTCTGTCAGTGCCCTCCCACTCCAGGGTTCTTATTGCTCATTGCTCCTCAGGTATTATCTCTGCCTTGCTATGCTGGCCTTGTTCCCAGGTCCATTCTTGTCCCAGCAATGGGGAGCAGTACATAGAACCCTCTGGACCAGGATATTGCTTCTAGGGCTGAGCATGCACCTGCTCTTTCAAAGCCTGGGCCAAGTCTACCTATGGCTCTCCTGGTGCTGAGCTCCCCCTCCTGACAGCAGTGCCTCAGAAGCAACACCATTTGGAAGGGGACCAAGGCAGTCCCTTCAGCAAGGAGATGTGCGGCAACACCCAGCCCATAGCTCAGACCCCTGGCTGGAAGTGGGCCAGGAGCACAAAGGACAGCTGAAACACAGCACTTCTTTATTTTCTAGGGAGGAGGTAGAATTCGGGGCTTGGAGAGTACTGCCCCAACATGTGTCCAGACAGCAGACCTCACTTCCAGAAAAGCACATTCCAGAAGAGCAGCCAGCAGGGATAGAGGCCCAAGGACAGCAGTGGGAAAAGCAGGGCACCATAAATGTGGTGTTCCAGCACGCCCTGTGCCAGTGCTGACAGGAACAGCTGCCAGCCCTCCGCCAGTGACAGCGGCACCTCCTGCAGTTCTCGCCACAGGAACAGGCTGCCCAGGAGCACAGCTGCTGGGCTGGTCAACACCAGAAGGGCAGCATAGAGTGGCCTGGGTAAAGGAAAAATGTCAGAGTTAACTTTGCCATGGGGGCAGTGGACTGAATGAGGGTGGGCTCTGTGGTGAGAAGCACAAATACTGTGGGTACCAACTATCACATACCGGGGCCCTTGGGGCTTGGTGAGTACAGCAGCAGGCACCATGGTGGCAGCTAGCAGGAAGCCCAGTGAGAAGTTTGTGAGGGTAATGCAGCCCAGCTGTAGTGCTAGGTAAATCAGGGCCACCAATTTCAGGGTCATCCACCCTCTGTCTAGAGCCTGTATGGTCACCATTCTGCAAAGAGAAAGGCTCAAAGGCAGCCTGCCTGCATGTCCAGGGCCCCTGCCTCCACCTGCCCTGCCCAATGCCTTACCGGTGGGTGTTGTGTGGAAGGGCCAGTCCGGCGGCGTAAATTGCCAGCAGTGTCAGCACCACAGCCTCAGACTCAGATACTGGGAAGTGTTGGGTGGCCACATGTTGGCCCAGCACAGGCAGGATGTAGAGGGCTAGGCCTACGGCCTGAGAGATCAGAAGGGGTGCGACGAGCGAGGCCAGCCCCACACCCTGAAGGGCACATGGGCATCTGGAGATGGAGCCTGGGGCCAGGAAGCCTGCCACCACCTCCTCTCCAGCTGATGCTGAGTGACAGCAGAAAGTACAACCTGGGGTCCTAGAAGCCTCCCCAAACAGCAGAAAGGGGCATTATCACCTGTGCTGGGAGGAGGGAGGCGCTGGGTCCAGGGGACCCTCCACCTTCCTCAGGGCCCACTCCAGCCTCGTGCAGTTGCATCCACAGTTCCAGAGCATGGTCTGAGTCAAGGACCCCACAAAAGGTTATGATGGGATCTGCTGGGAGGGACCCAGGGTTCCCCCCACCCCATTCCCACAGCAAGATGAAGGATCTCCCCCAGCCTACAGTTCAGGGGATTCAATGCTGGCTATAAGTGGACAGCGCAGGTACAGGATATCTTGAGACCAAGGACCAGGAGCAAGAAGCCGGCGGCAGGCATGTAGAGACCAATGGAGACAAATCGGGAGAGAGCAGGGAGCAGGTAGAAGAAGAAGGACTGGTGCAGGCGTTCCAGGAGATGGTTGAGCTTTCGGAACATGCCCTCTAAAGCCCTGTCAGAGTCAGGTACACAGCACGTGCAAGGTCAGCCATCTCTCCCTCAACCCTGCGGTCACTGCCCCAAACGTGGACAGAGGTGCAGGCTACTTACTTTCCCACTGCTACCAAGTCATACTTGTACTGGCGGAAGCTATTGATACCACGAAGGGTGAGAGCCTCTACCCCATAGCGCAAGAAGAGGCCATGGGGGCCATGGGGACGGCCAGAAGCCTGCCGCAGAACCATCAGCAGCAGTGTCTGCAGCCCCTGCAGTGGTCCATCCAGCGAGGTCCAGTCCTGGGGTTGCAGCTTTGGAGGCATAGGGAGAGGATCAGATAAACCCCTCACCAGAGGCCCTGTGCTCCCAGGCAAGTGGTCCCACCTTGCCCTGAAGTGTACATAGCAGCCCCCCTTTCTGGCAGAAAGTCTGGAAGAGGTTGAGGAGGTCAAGATTGGGCAGCTGTCCATTGAGGCCCTCTACAGTCACATCAAGGCTGGTGACCACATCACTGCTCAGCTCCAGGGCCACTGCTGCCTGAATGGCCCCAGCCCGGCCTTGCAGGGAGGATGACTGCATGCCTGTGGAGTCAAGCAAACAAGCATCAGAAGGGGCAATGGTGAGGACACTTGACCCTGAGGGGGACCAACACAAGGGACGAGCACCTACCAGTAACATTGACGTCGTGGTAGGCTTCAAGCCAAGCCTCAGTGCCCAGAAGATCATGTTCAGTCAATAGGAAGATGATATCTTTGGCCCAGTAAATCTGCCCTGGAGGCCAAAGGTAGGGTCACGAGGACCAGGAGCACTGGCCAAACCCTCCCTGGCCAGCAGACCCACAGCCTCACCTCGGAAATGTGCAGCAAGTGCTAGCAGCAGCCCCACAGCCTGGCTATTGGCAGAGTCAGGGCCACAAGGTACAGTAAGCACCAGGGATTCGGTGCTGGCAGCACGAGGGGCCCGCAAGATGCCATACACGTTGGTGCCTGACACCATCTGCACAAAGGATTGGTGGAGGAGCCTCATTGTAACTCCACGGCAGAGGACTGAAGCCCCCCGCCCCATTCTCCTGGCAATACAGTGCTCACCACAAGGTCTCTTCTTGCCCCTAGATCATCCCTCCCATTGACTCCAACATGACACCCTCCAACATGATTCTCAGCCCAGGCCACCCATCCAAGTGCTTTTTCGTCCCAGGTACACCCCCTCCCTCAATACATAGCGCTCGTGGGTCTCGTCTGGAAAGGGCAGTTTTCGAGAGAAACTCTGCGTGTAGACCTCCAGCCCTATTGACCGCATCGTCCGCTCCAGCCAGGCCACTGGCAGAGCCCTGGAAACACAAAGACAGCTTCTGCATAGGGGTCCCTGGCCTTGGCCACCAATGGTTTCCCCATGCCCACCGCTCTGCCACTTACCCAGACTTTCTGCGGTAGGCAGCGAAGTCCCGAGCAAAGACCCGGGCGCGGTCTCCACCCACAAACTGTTCTTCCACCATGGTGGACCCCATGGCGTTCTCCGACATGTAAGTGCGCTGGGTCAGCGGCGGGAAAGCCAGCGCCAAAAACCAGGCGATGCCCGCCACATAACTCAGCAGGCTGCGAGAGAGGACAGAGTGGGCTAATTAGTGGTCCTGGGACATCGGCTGTGGCCACTACCTCCGCACCAGGGGTCGCAGGGACCCAGACCCAGAGTCACGGCACCCAGGACGCCGGAGCGCTGAACCCCAAGCCTGACACTGCGTGATGCGGACGGCGGGGAGGGAAGGTGAGGACAGCCGCAGGGACCCTGGTTGAGAGCGAAGCCTCTAACAATTCTAGCCCGGGCCTCGGTCCCGCCTCCCCAGAGCCCGTCCTCACCAGAGCGGCGCGTTCAGGCGCAGCACGAGGCGGGCAAGAGCGCGCCGGCGCACCGGGTCCGACAGGAGACCCATAGCGGAGCGGGGCAGGGCGTGCGGCTTCGGCACCCCGCTCCCGCCTCCAGGTAGGACAGAGGCGTGTGTGCTACTCCTGTCAGACTCGGGGCCCGGCGCCGGCACTCACTTCCGGCCCCAGTGGCCCACCCCCGCCTCTACGCATGCGCAGAGCGTTTCCCGCCCCTCGGCCTTACCTATTGCGCAGCCTCAAGAGCTGTGGCGCAGGGGATAGGGGCGGGACTGGGACCTGGGCTTCGCAGTGAATTGGGAGAGGCCTACGAGAGGGTAGTACCGCCCTCGCCAGAAGGGAGCGGTGAAGTTGCCAGCGCCCGGAATAGTAGGAGGCAGCAAGGAAACGCCGACTGAAATGCTGGCAGGCTTCAGACGACGGAGCACTGGGCAGGTGGGTGGAGCGCCGGCCCAGCCCTCGGAGCACGCATGCCTGCCTGAGGGCCTCCTGAACGGTTACGAGTGGGGGCAGAAGGGCCTTCGGTAAAGTGAGGCTCGAACATTGGAAGATCGTTTTTACGGATGTCAGCTACCAAAAAACGACAGTGGGTGCGGCCTAGTAGAGTCATCTGGGTTCTGGGCCCGGAACAAGGACCAGCAGGGTCAGATGTAACAGCCTGTAGCGAAGCTGCTTGTCGAACTGCGCGTCAAAAACGGGCTTCAGTACAGCTAAAGTGTGTGGAGCAGAAATCGGGGAGCATATTGTTCTTGTCCAGGCCAGGCCTCAGGTCTGAAGGCAGGAGGTGGATGGAGGGGTTTGCTTAAGAGGGTTCATGGTGGGCCAGGGGGAAGGTCTGAACTGAGAGGAGATGATCAGGTAAGAACAGGGGTCTGTTGTTGTTTTAAAGCAGAAAAGGCCCAGAGGGCTCCTAGGGGAAGAGGGAAATTAGCTCAACCTTTCGTCCTGCATCTTTATAATGGGTGCTCACAGCCAGCCAAGTTCTCCCTCAGTCGTGCTGAGGTAAGCATGGCAGGCTACTTTGTCTGAGGATGTGGCTCCTCATGGTCCAGGTTGCTCTTTCCACCCAGGGGCACCCTCCCCTTACTCCCCTCCTGGTTTCCTCTGCAAAGTTTGAATCCTGGGACTGCAAAGAGGCGTGTAGTTCATGTGAGAGGGCAGCACACCAGTCAAGCCCAGGAGACAGCACCAGGCCTGGCTCTGCTGGACTCTTGAGTCGCTCTGGAAGCACTGTACAGTGAGAGGTGTTGTGCAAAGAAGCAGGGCTTTATTCTGGACATGGGTGGCCATGTGATTAGTCCCCCAGCATGATAGAGGCTTCATGCACGTGCTGTCGGACCACACGGTCCAGCAGTGTGTGCACATCTCGGGCAGCCTGGGCAGCAGCTTCTAGCACCCACTCTAGGTGGTCCTCATGCAGCCGGGCGTCCATCTCAAGTAGTGCGATCTGGCCTGAGGCTGGCAGCAGGGCCAGGGCTAGCTGGGGACCACCAGCTGCTTCTTCCACATGGCTGAGGTCTGCCAGAGCTGTGCCGTCCACAAAGCCAGCTGAGCACGCACACACAAAGTCCCGCATGGGTATCCCAGCATCCAGTACTGCCAGCGTGGCTGCGTTCACACAAGCTGCGTAGGTCCCGCCATCTGCCTGCAGCACCTGCGGAGACACGCCCCCTCTCGGGAGGGGGGTGGGCATAAGTCTGTCAGATGTGCTATTCCACCTTCTATCACGCAGCTCCCCTGCTGCACTTCAGTTCCCTTCCTTCCCTGGTTGAGGGCTGCAGCTGGCATACCTGCACGTAGATGTCAATCTGGGAGCGTGGGTGCAGCTGTGTGAGGATGGCTGCCTCAAAGGTCTGGCGTAGTTGAAGGCCCATCTCACAGGACTTCCGGTCCCCATGTGGCCGTCGCTTGCGTTCACCTGTGCTGAAGGTTGCTGAACTATACTGACAGTTCACCAGGGCACGGTCAGGCAGGGCCCGAGACCGGGATCCTCGAATCTGGAAGAGAAAGGACAAATAAGCCGGCCAAGCTTACCTCTTCCAGCTCATAATCCCCGGTCCTCTGTGGTCCAAGCTGCCTTTCTCCCGTCCCTCCAGTCTCTCAGAGAAGGGCAGCTATTTTATCTCCAAAATATAGCTCAGGGGAGGGTCACTTGCCAGTCTGATTCACCATCACCTCTACCATGCGGGCCTCTGTCCACTGCTCGCTCCATTTCCTCCCACCCCATTCTCTATCTGGTGTGTCCGCACACATCAAGTCTGATTCTGCCTCACCTCCACACTCACATTCTACTTACCTTCCAAAGGTTTCCCATTATGTATATAATAAAATTCCAAATCCTTTTTTCTGGTCTACAAAGCCCTGGGTCCTCACTTCCCTGAAAACGCTTCAGCCTCATTTGTCATTATCACCCCTTTTCCCACCAGCAGTCGTTTTGCTCTGCAGAAATGTCATGCTTGTTTCTACCAGTGGCCTGTTGTTTTGTTTTGTTCTTTTGTCAGAGTCTAGCTGTGTAGTTCAGGCTGGCCTTGAATTCACAACGTAGCCCAGGGTGGCCTCCAACTTGAGGCAATCTTCCTGCCTCAACCTGCTGGGATTACAGGCAAGCCCCACCACGCCTGGCTTCTTCCACTTTTTAGAGCTGAGCTCGCAAACACGCACAGGCACCACACAAACATTTTTTAAATTTCTGCGCCGGCCAGGCCCTGTTACAGTGTTGACAACACAGCAGGGGGTTTTATTTAAAGGCCCCTTTTTCTGCAGGTTTATGATCCCGTGGGGCGGGGAGACAAACGACGAGAAAGTAAAACTGACGTTTGACGTGGTAGGTGCAGAAAAGCAAGGAAGGGTGTTGTAGTGGATCGCAGAGGCTCATCCAGACCGTGACCTGGGAGTTGAAAGGGGAGGAAACGAATGGTAGAGCCTGGCACGTCGAGGAACCGCAGAGAGAAGTACCGGGCCCACCCAGAGGTGCACTGTGAAGACCTTGGCGTTTACTCGGCCCTCAGCTGCGTAAACAGAGACGCTCCCCATGGCCCCGCGGCTCCCGCGCCGCACACTCGCCTCGTGCGGCCCATAGACCACGGCCAGCGCCTTGGTGTTGCCCTGCTCGATGTACGCCGAACCGTCCGCCTGCGCGAACACGCCCATCCGTGCCTGGATCTTGCGCAGCTCCCCTGCGCGCCGCCCATCTACCCGGTAGCCCTGGTCCGACAGGAGTTCCAGGCCCGCCATGCCACTCGTTCTGCTCTCTGCCTTCCAGAGAAGTCAGTTCCCGATGGCCCTAGTCGGCCAGATCTATTGCTCTCTGTTGGCCTGGTTCCTTCCGGTCCCGGAAGCTACCGTTTCCGGCGGTCCGGCCTCTTTCTGGGTCCGGGAAGCTACGGTTCCTGGCGGCTTCTGGCCGCTCGGAAGTACAGTTTCGGGTGGTCAGGCCACGGTCCGGTTTCAAGGAACTCCTATTCCCGGCGGTCCCCGGTCCTTGGGAGGTACAGGCTTTCGCCGCCCCGCTTCTCACTTCCGGGCTCGGGGAGTGAAGGCTGTTGCGCGAAGGCTTGTCAGCCTCGGGATTTCCCGGCTGCGTCTCTTCGCGCACCTTCGCGCGAGTCAATGAGCTTCTTCTTGGCCTCAGCGACCACGGGCAGGAGACGGCTGCCGCAGGTTAGATTTCGCCTAAACTGAGACGCATTTTCCTTTCTTTTTTTGGGACGGCCTTGAACTTTGTAGCCTAGATTGGCCTCTAACTGGTGGCCACCCTCCTGTCTCAACCTCCTAAGTGCTGGCATTATCCGGTTTGAGACTCATTTTTTTTTTCTTCTGGTTTTTATATATTTTTCAGCTTAAAAAATGGACATAATTTTTGGTTAAACAAACTTTTTTGTAGAGCGACTTTAATATTCTCTATTCTCTTGATTCTTCTCTCCGCAACTAATAAATGGACCTTCCCAGATTGTCTCATGTCCCCTGATTGCATACAGATCAGACGCAAGCTGGGCATGGTGGCTCAGGAGGCTTGCAAGTTGGAGGCCAGCCTGGACTAAACAGTGAAATCCGGTCCAGAAAAGAAAAAAATCCAGACCATACACAAATACATGCACTTACACACATACAGCCACAGGGTAGCTTTCGGAATTCTTGTGTATGTTTTGGTATGGGTGATTGAACCTTTGGTGTGTACATGCCAGGCGAGTACTTGTCTACCACTGAGCAACATCCTCAGCCCCTTCTAGATTTTTTTGTTTTTGTTTGTTTTATTTTGTTTTTTAAATTTTGAGTCAGGGTCTTGTTAAATTGCCGCAATTGGTCTCAAGTTGCAACCCTCTTGTCAGTTTTTCCCAGGTTGCTAGAATTACAGATATGTGTCACATGCCCAGCACAAGTTTTTGTTTTTAATGGGATCGCTTAATACCCACTTTTTGTGATTTTCAGAAAAAAAAAAAAAAAACAAACCCAAAAACTTAGAAACTCGGCATGGGGGCCAGAGATATAGCTCAGTGGCACAGTGCCTTCCTTGCAAACGCAAGGTCCTGAGTTCAATTCCCAGTACCAAAAAAAGAAACTGGGCATGGTGGCACATGCCTGTAATCCCAGTACTATGGGAGGTTGAGGGTGAAGGATCAAAAGTTTGAACCCAGCTGGGTACCTTATTAACTTAGTGAGACCTTGTCTCAAACAATAAAAAGGCTGAGTTATGTCTCAGTGTAAAGGGCCTGGGTTCAAGCTACACTACCAAACAACGAACTAAAACAACCCCAGCCACGCCCCAAAGAACCTTATGAAATTTCTCCAAATTGATTGCTTGATACCCATAGGGTGGATGTAGTAAGATGTATTCCTGCCACTGCCCCGTGTCCTGCTGGGTGGCTGGGGTTTTAAAATTCTAAGCTGGGCATGGTGGCCCCTGCCTGTAATTCCAGCACTTGGGAGGCTGAGGCAGGATGATAGCCATGAGTTTGAGGGCGGCTTGGGCCACATAATGAGTCTAAGGCCAGCCTAAACTTCATAGAGAGACCCTGTCTCAAAAAAAAAAAAAAAATTCTAGGAGTTGCTTAGGTTTGCCTAGATAGCTTGCACATAGTGGCTGGGGTTGCAGCCATTTAAAGGCTTCGTCACATCCTTGGTGATTGGTACGGGGTGTGGGCAGGACTGTCTGAGGCTGTCACACGCTTGCATTTGTCTTCT